GCTCCAAAATGGTGGAATGAGCTCCCCATTGAAATCAGGACAGCAGAAAGCTTACACATCTTCCGGAGCAGACTGAAAACTCATCTCTTTGGACTCCACTTCTTGAGTTGAGTAGCACTTGAAATGTTTGGCTCTATGAAACCTGATGTACTTATATGATTCTGTTTTCTTCAAGTTTTTAGACTGCCAAGGCACACATTATTGTAAGTCGCTTTGGATAAAAGCGTCAGCTAAATGCAATGCAATGTAATGTTTAGTCATTTTGTCCGACTTGCTCTGGAGGCTCGCCTACATGAGACGTTGAAATCTCGCGGGACAAAGACGCCCGCAGCCTTGAGAGCGAGGCGCGGCGAGGCGGCGCAGTTCCTCTCCACGGGCTGCGGAAGCGAAATGCTTGATGGGAAACGACTCGCTGGTATCTCGAGCTGAGCGCTCATTGGTGGGTTTTACCCCGTGCTGCTGATTAAACTCTCCAATTGGCTCGGCAAAAGTTTGTTGTTGTTTTGTTTCAGTTTTACGTCGCCCCCTCCATTAACATTTTTCATAATTGTTCCACAATGTTTATCATCATGAAATTAATATCCATATATGTTATACTATATTTGGACTGCTTACCGTTTTCATACTTTATATATCTTAGCATATTCATACACACTGTTCATACTGCTCACAGGCTGCTGTGTNCTCAGAGGGGCGTCGGGAGTGGCTCCTTATTTTCATCTAAAGTAACAGACAGAGAATCAGCACTTTTGAAATAGGGATGAAACAGAGGGGATTATGGGATGCTACAATGCATGATATGTTGGGTATTTTGAGCCAAACACTTCAGAGACATGTTTTGTATATATCTGAGACCTATAATATATTGATGAAAAACAGTATAATAGGGGACCTTTTAAGAAATTAATGATCAGCTGATGCTTTTATAAGGGAGATATTGACATTGTCATGTGATGGCTAATATGGTAACATTAAAGATCGCAAAAGTGAACCAGAATTATTGTATTATTGTATCCATTATGTTATAGAGCCACTAACAGACATCACAGGTTAATTTAGAATAACCTTTGCTGAACCTTGGCCCCCTCAGCCTCAATTTACGATAACAGTACAGGATAATGGTAAAGTAGAGAACAGTCATAAAATAAGCAAACCGATTTGATAATCTCAGTTACACAGCAATATCTACCTAAAGTTTGCTAGCATGAGCTCACATCAGACACCAAGAGTCACTGGTCTAATCAGAAGTAAAGCTGTAGCAGCTACATCTGTGTGTGTACTTTGTTACACAAGGGTGTGATATTTTTAAAGAGGGAGAATATGTGTTCCTTTTTTAAAAGTGACAGTCTGCCTTTTTAAATGTCAAAGCTAGACAAAAGAGTTGAGTGTCAGCAGTTGGTATGGATATTTTTGTAATACAAAATGACAGAGAGGACTAAATGAGGTAATGTATCACAACTGTGGAACATTGGCATTAGAAGAGAGTGTGGGTGGACATTACCAATTACCTGTCTGTACTGTATTCCTGCCTATTGGCTGTTAGACATGTAAATCCATACCGTACTGATATACAGTATGTTTGATTGGCTAAAAATAGCAATGGCTATAAGCCGTGCAGAGATGTATCCTGTTTATATTTGTACATTTAGTGGATATAGGACTCACAGACCAGTCAATGACATGCATAGAAGTTTTAACCGAAAATGTTTTTCCTTATCATATCCAAAACATTTCTGCTGTAGTGACACCTACTTACACACAGCTTTTGAAGCTCCTCCTAAATCTGGTCCTTTACTACAGGAGAAGCTGATAACGCCTTTGACATTCACTCCTGGTTCACAGTCCAGGGCCTGTACACCTATTGTTAATCATTACAAACGTTAACAAAAAGTAATCTGGTCTTGTTCAAAATCCAGATGAGAATGATTGTTTTTTGTTTGTTTTTTACCATATTTTAATAGTAACATACAAATGTAATTGGCAGGATTAATAATGAGTTTGTCTATTCTCACTATCCATAATACCTGTTAAAGAAATGTTGTGTTCTTAGTTATGGGGGTCAGGCCTTTTACTGGTCTGTTCTCAAATACAGAACATGCAGAATATGTGCATATATGTATATGTACAGTATGTGCTCTCAGTTTTGCTGTCTTTTATCGACCAGCTCCTGCCAATGTTCAACGTATTTCACTTTTGGCTAGTGTACTTTTGAGGTTATGCCAATTAGAAACACAAGAAAGTAAAATTCAAAATAGAAAATATTCCATTGGACTTTTATATGGAGTCAGATAGTTGTTCTCTCATGTTTCAAAGCCCCACAATAGGGAGACCGGGTCGTCTCTATGTGAGAACATTAAAGCTACCAACCTAACAGATATCTGTCTGGCAGCCCTTATGGATCCTTATTTCCTAATCCTTGAAAGACTACGCGCTCACCCCATTCAGCACCCTCAGCTCCACCCAGTAATCTGCTGAAAGAGGTTGCCTCTGATTTTAGGCCAGCAGCAAATAAATGTTGCAATTGTTAATAAATTATAATGATTGTGATGATGCAATGAGCTTCATAACGGAAGCACTCTGCACCACTTTCTGCTAGCACGTCTTAATTATCTAGAATTGTTCAGCATAGTGTTGTCATGTGTCTAGAGGCTGTGAGTAAAACCAAAGCCACAGCTTCTTGTCCTACAACCGTTTGGAATCACTGCTGCCATTAGAAATCCCATGTTTCCAGGCTAATCGCTGTGTATTTGTCATTTTAAACTATCATTTAAATTGTAAAATGTTAGGTTTGTTTGAGTCTTAGAAATCTTGGGGGATGATAAAATGTAAACATGCCAAATGTGTAGTTTCTTCAAATGATCATTACCATTACATTATTAATGGTAATGATCATTTGAAGAAACCCTATAGCAAACTCTTTTCGTCTTAATTTGCGATTGCTGTTTCTATCAGTGATTCAAAGGTCAAGATCTGCTGATTTGTAAAGTGTTGGCTGGGTCTACAGCTCCACTGCATTATTCATATAGAAGTCCTTCATGGTTAAAAACAGAGACTCTCATAGAGGGCTTTTAGATCGTTTTAAAGTCTCCACTGACTTTTTTAATATCAGACAGTTGTTTGTGGTAAAAACCCAGCTTTGTATTAGCATCCTTATCACTGACGTGTTTAAAATGTTTTGAAAAATCATCACACCACTTGCTGGAAGATTGCGCTTGTGTTCCTGAGTGAGGTATGACTACTCGCATCTCTAAATCTTATACAAAGGACTCATATTTTGCTTTAGTCAAGGTGATTTTTTCTTTTATCTACTCATGTAATGAAAGTGAGAGAGAGATTTGTTTCTCAGCTTTTACAGAAAACCTTTTTATCATTGTAGGTGAAACATTTTTTGAATTCATGATGGTCCTCTAGAGCAGTGGTTCCCAACCTGGGGGGCGTGCCCCCCTTGGGGGGGCGTCAATGAT